AGTTTGAGAATATGGTTTGAGATTTTACTTTAAGATTATGCTTTTATTGCTATAACAAAGAAATGCCTATTCAAGTTCAAATAAACAAAAAAAAAATTACCCATTTCAGTCCAAAGAAAGTAAGTAACAAGAATAAAAAATTCAACATAAATTCTCCAACATAAGTGCATACGCAATAATATATTGTTTAAAGTTAGAAATTAATATTTTACTTTCCAATATAATTACACAAATTCTCCAATACAGGCATAAAAATGACTGTTTCTAGTTCAAATAAATAAAAAAAAAACATTTCAACTTAAAAAAAGAAATTTCTACATAAATTCAATCCAAGAACACAAAATTTCAACACAAGTACATATGCAATAATATATTGTTTAAACTAATTATTTAAAGTTAGATATTGAGATTTTATTTTTCAACACAAACACACAAATTCTCCAACATAAGAACATAAATGCCTATTTCTAGTTCAAATAAACAAAATAAAATAAAATACTCATTTCTACCTAAACAAACTAAATTTCAACATAGATTCGGTTTATAACACATAATTTTCAATGCATATTCACATTTTTCGAGTTAGTATCTATGTAAAGAAGCAAGAATAGTAGGAACCACGAAGAGAGCAAAGTAAGGTGCAAGGAAAATGAGGTGAAACAGTAAGGTAAAGGGGGCTTCATGGGTGACAAAACTTTATAGGTTAGTGCCGACTTCATGGGCAGTACAAACAGTAGCAAGGAGATTCAAAGATTGAGGGAGAGATGAGAAGTGAAAAGAGCGATGTAAAAAGCTTTAGGTATTTGCAAATCGAAAGAGGAAGAAAAAGGAAAAGGATTTTATTTTTAAAGCTTTTCAACAACGAATTACTGATAAAATTTCTGTTGGTAATTCAATTTTTTTTTTTACGTTCACCAATGGATTACCAAAGATATCCATAGGTAATTCAAATTTTTTTTTTTTACTTTCACCAACAGATTATTGACGAAACCCATCTATAATCCAAAATTTTTTTCATTCAATTTATTTTTATGCTGAATTAGTTGTTTTCAAAAAAATTTTTTTAAGAAAAAAAAATTATTGGTAAAAACTTTACCTATAGATTACTGACCGATTTTTTCCCTTGATAAATCAAGCACCCATTTTCCAATTTCCCGCGCCAACATCACCTACAAATTACTAACAAATTTTTTTTTCATCGGTATTTTGTCAGTAAATCCATAATAATTTTTTTATGACCCATTGGTAAATCATCAATAATCCACTGGCAATTCATCATAATTATCAACAAAAACTTTTCATTAGTAAAAATCCATCGATATTAAACAATTTTCTAGTAGTGTCTATCGATTTTGATTTTTAATTTTTATTTAATCAATTTTAGTAAAAAAATTTATGAATTTTATGTAATAAACTTCATCTAAGTTTTTTTCTTTTCAAAAAGACATATTAAAGTTTAACTTAACTCATTATTCAAAGTATACTAAAGAAGAAATTAAGAGGGTATTTGGTTCGAAAGAAAATAAGATTCTTGGTCAAAATCTTACTTCTTATAATTTAATTCTTTTGTTTGGTTAATGAAATCTAATTCTTGAGGTTTTATAAAATTTTCAGCAATGTCAAAAAAGGATAGTGATAGCCCTAAATCAAAAACCTTTTTCTCTTTGAGGTTTTTTAAAATTCTTGATGAAATGTAATATTAATTTATCTCACTTTTGCCCTTAATAATAATTTTTTACTATCTATTTTACTTATGAAATCAACATAATTGCATGACAAATTAAGACCCATTCTGACATGCGAAGTTGCATTCTAAGTCACTTGATTGGACACCTTGCAATAATCATGTGTAATTGAATTTTTAGAAATTTAAATATTTGTTTTCAACTTATAAAGTTTTAGAAAGAAAATGTTTCATAATTATGAAAAAAATAATTATAATAAAAAAACATTTTTATAAGAAAAATGTAATAAATTGTTGAAAATATTTAATTTTTTTTATAGTTTCATGAGAATTACGTTTTTAAAATATGAGTATAGTTGACCATAAAAAATAATAACAAAATAAAATTTATTCCAATATCAACAATGTTTTGTAGAAGGGAAACATAGTAATTGATAAGATGTAATTAAAGGAAGGAAAGTGATATCGGGGAAAAGTGATCTTGACTTTATGTTTGAAATTTAAGAATTCACAAATTTAAAAACGTTTATAAGATAAAAATGCAGTTTTTGTTAAAAACATAAAAAAAATGCTTTTAAAATTCAATAAAGATGATATTTCTAAAATAAAAAACCTAGGTTTTTGTTGAACATATGAATAATTTTTTTTAGAATTCAATAAATATGACGTTTCTAAAATAGAAAACATTGTTTTTGTTAAAAGCATTAAAATATATATTTTTTATAATTTAACAAAAACAATATTTTAAAAATAGAAAATGCAGTTTTTATTGAAAAAATAACATTTCTAAAATAAAAATGTAGTCTTTGTTGAAAAGAAGAAAAAAAATATTTTTTAAAATTCAATAAAGATAGCGTTTTTAAGATAAAAAACAGTTTTTGTTGAAAACATAAAAAAAATATTATCGAGATTTCAATAAAGATGATGTTTTTAAGATAAAAATGTAGTTTTATTGAAAAGACAACTTTTCTAAGATAAAAAAAATGTAATCTTTGTTAAAAATATGAAAAAAATAAAAAGTAAAATATTTTTACTTAATATTATTACATATAAAATCTAAAATACATTTACTTAATATTATTATACATAAAATTTGTTCCAAGGGCTTGACCCCGAGAAAACCCCAGAAAGAAGGTTTATTATCCCCTTCCAACCTTTACGTCGACTTTACCGTGAAGGTCGATTTGTGCATATATTTTTTTTTTTGCATAAGGTTAATCAACATTATAATAGTAATTAAAATTGTAGGATTATATTTATTGAAAATATAAAAAATTATTTTTCAAAATATTTATTTTCAATGAAAATAATGTGTTATTTATATGTCATGTGTTATTTATGTATTAGTATTATAAATATTATGTGTTATTCACATGTTATCAAAGATAATATAGTAAAAGATTTTATTTGATAATCTTACATTCTTGTGAACAAAATACAAAAATATTACATTCTCTATATCAATAAAAATCCAAGAATCATACATTCCCCTTCAATATCATGTGCTCTTTAGATCACTTTTTCTCTCAAAATTTAAGAATTTACAAAACAAATGTCCCTAAAAGTATACCAAAAATTCATCCAAAAAGTGGAAAGATGAAGGCCAGCTACCAATAAACATTCTGAACAACAAATTTTTTTCATTCAATCAATGAGAAAAGAATATGGGCATTTTACTACTAAAAATCTTATTGATACAAAAATAATAATCTTATTAAAAATAATAATCAAGATTGTACTATTAAAATGAAAAAAAAATTTCCTTCTCAACTCATATAAATTAAAAAAATTACTTGAAAAACAAAGTGACAGCAACTACAAAAATTAATCTCTCCCATTGCGCAACTCCCTAAAAAAGTTCATTTGTGTTAATGATAAATTAAAAAAAGAAAATAGTGCACAACCAATTGCAGCACAAAAGAGAATAAAGCAAAAGTGCCCCATCAACAAAGAAAAAGGGTAAAATTCATGTTGATAATGGTAGTTTATGCATGGTTATATTCCAACAATATCACCAATTTAATTGAAGTAAAAGTTGGTATATAACATGAATACATACGTGGGCATAAGAGACAACAGATTATCATTATAATGTAATCTCTATTTTTATAATATATTAATATCATAAATAATTTTTAAATTACAATAAAATATTTAATATAATATTTAAATTTTTTTAAAAAATTTAATATGATATCTGAATTATAATTATATTAATTAATATGATATTTACTTTTAAATTAAAATAGATTTAGATTTAATTCTCAAAATAAAATACCTTGTATAGATGAAATCCAAGTTACACGCACGTCAAAAAAATAAAATAAATAAAATTTTATTTAATTAATTATAACTTTATAAAAATTCAAAACTTGAAAAAAAAAATTCTACTCCTCTCAAAATCTCTATAGGTACAGTCTTTGTTTTACTCTAATACTGTTTATCAAAATCATTTTTATATAATATATAATTTTTGTGATGAATGAATTATTTAAAGTTTTTTGAATGATTTACCTTTTTTTCAAGAAGAAACCATAATATATTATACAACTATAATTTTAATTTAGAACAAAATCCTAAGTTTACAGAGATGTCACAGGAACGGAAGAACACAAGCCAAGGACTCCTCAAGTATGAACATATATTATCCGCTACAAAACATGAGAAGAGCCGTAGCAACCAAAACAACATTTAAATGGCCTTGACTTTTTACACCTGTTTATGTTCTATTGATTGTCAATTTTATTGCATTCGGCAAGTTGTAAAAAAAAAAAAATTGTTTGGGTTTGGTTTGGTAGTCCATTATCAAGTGCTTGGTTTTTAATTATCTGGTGGTGTTGTAATTGAGTAAGTCTTATATGAGCTTTGGGTCATGTCATAGAGATCATTATTTTTAAAGGAAACGGATAAATAGTATGACACGGTAGTACACAATCAATTAAATTTATTTAAATTTAATAATTTTAAATATGATAGGATAATATAATTTAAAAATAATATAATAAAATAATTAAATAAAATAATTTTAAATATAAATTTAATAAAAATTAAAATTTATTTTATATTTAATATATTAATATAATTATAATATAATATTATTTTTATATTTTATACATATTTACTATAAAATAAATAAAAACAAATATGCAATGGGCTAACTTTTACTGCATCAACATAATATTAATCAATTATTCTAGGTTTTGTTCATTCAAAGTGTTGCCAAAGTTTCTATCCAACAAAATAAAAAAGGTTTTTACAAAACAAATCTTTAACTAAAATATCGCATTAAATCTTTGCTAACAGTTAACCTATTTGTGCTTAAAAAAACTGAATCTTTCTGTTTCATTAAAAAATATTGGAAGCGACATTTTTGTATTTAAATTTATCAAAAATGATTACGATTAAAGATAATAGACGACTTTAGTTCATTGATGAACTAATTGATTATGATTAAAAAAAAATCGCCCCCACCACTCCACTAAGTCACACCTATTTCCACGTTAAGTCTTCCTCCAACGCCGGTATCTCCACCACGCGCCGCCCTCCTCTAAAATCCTAATCAATAACCAATCTTATTGGGCCCCACACTATGACTCGCTCTTACTAGTTACAAGTAGTAAAGAAAGGGGCAGCAGCTTTCGTAATACCATACGTTAAACCCTACCACCATGCAAGCCATATTTCTATCATCACGCGCCACCGTACTCCCCACCACAAAACCGCTCAACGTTCCTCCAAACTGCCGCCGATGTCTTTGCATAACCGCGCAATCCCAAGCAACCGTTACAGCCGACCCTCCCTCTCCCCCCACAATAAAGCTCAACAAATACAGCTCAAGAATAACGGAGCCAAAGTCACAAGGCGGGTCCCAGGCGATGCTCTACGGCGTCGGATTATCGGAAAACGACATGTCGAAACCCCAAGTGGGAATATCGTCCGTATGGTACGAGGGGAACACGTGCAACATGCATTTATTGAATTTGTCGGAGGAAGTGAAACGGGGCGTTGAGGAGGCTGGGATGGTTGCGTTTAGATTCAATACAGTCGGGGTTAGCGACGCGATTTCGATGGGGACGACAGGGATGTCTTATAGCTTGCAGTCAAGGGATTTGATTGCTGATAGTATTGAAACGGTTATGAGTGCTCAGTGGTATGATGGGAACATCTCCATTCCTGGTTGTGATAAAAATGTAAGCTTTTTACTTCAAACTTGCTTTTTTTTTTCTCTCTCTCTCTCTCTCTTTTAATAACAAATATATAAGCTTTTTGATTCATACTTTAGTTTTTTTTTTCTTGTGTTTTTGTTTTTTCTTGCTTTTAATAGTGAAAGGAAAAAAAAGAGTGCTTTGATCACATGCTTATTGCTTTTAATTGTGAGAAAGAGAAGAAAATAAAAAAAAAAGGATGTAAGCTGCATTTCTCTCAAGAGTGTTATCCATTGAAAATGGGAAAACCCAATTAAAGTGACCAATTTGGTTTGATTTTTATTCATAAAATTAAATCAAACTAAGATTTTTAGCCATTATATTTCTTTGTAGGATTAATTAATTCATAATTCATTGAAGTCACATGATATTTGAATTGAGCTTAAGATTGAATTGAACTAATATGAATTTTTAGTTGAGCCTTTGTTTAGAAAGCCTAAGGGGATGATGGGGAGCTCTAACTGAATTGCAATGTTTTGTTTCGTTTAAACTTTTCTATTTGGTGTCAAAATCTCCTTTAAATCAAAATAACAGCAATTTTTCAACTTATCTTCAGGCTGCTGGAAAAATTTGATGGTTGAAATTTTGGATATAAGTTTTATCTTTTGCTTGATTTTATATGTCTTCCTAGTCATTTTGCCATGAGCTGTGATTCAATTTTGGACCTTGGAGAATCATAGAAGTAGTTTTTGTGTTAATGCAGTTGTGTTTCAAGAAAATTCAACAATCACAAATTATAGTGTGAAACAGGTTGTCTTTTAGAATTGTGCAATTATCTCAATCTAATGCTAGCTAGTTCTCTAGATGCCAGGTACGATTATTGCAATGGGGAGGCTCAATCGGCCAAGTCTTATGGTTTATGGTGGAACTATCAAGGTTTGCTGCTTTGCGTTGTTCAGTATAAGTGCTATAAGTTGACTACTCTTGTTCTTTCGCTGCAAATGGCTCATTTAGGCTCAGTATTTTTTTTTTAATTTTGCTTTTATAACATTCTATGGTTATTTTTTCTTTGACAAATCACTGCTACTTTTTAAAATTCTTAAATCAATACACATTTCACCCTAGCATGCTAGATAAGGCCATAAGGATCAGTTTCAAAGAGGAAAGCACTTATTCTTATGAATGCTGTATTCTTGTCTAAAATTGCAGTATACATTATATGTGCATGACTTTTTTAATCAATATCATCCCCACCAAAAGACAAATGGCTAAATCAGCTAGGTGTATTATAAAATGTAGGTATACTGGCAATTTGATAATACAACAACAAGAACTAACTAATTTGATAATATCATATCTAATTTGTATAATAATTTGATAATATCATACCTAAACCTATTTGAAAGAATTTGAGGCATCAAACATTGTAAGTTCTAACCCTGAAATAAATTATTTCATCATACAGTAGTATGTCGGATGAGATTCATTGCGATCTGTGGCCCTACTTCTCCTTTTTATTGTTTCTTATACATCATATATTTATTAAAATGCAATAAGTGTAGTTAATTAAAATTCAGATAGTGTTGTCCTACTGCCAGTTTAAATGGTTATAGGTTGTCAACTTTAATGATGCATTGATTTATTGATTTATTTATTTTTAAACCTGTTCTTTTGCAGCCTGGTCATTTTCAAGGAAATACATACGATATAGCATCTGCCTTCCAGGTAAGCTTAGTGTTACATGCTATTTGAATGTTGTTATGGTAGTTTATTACTTCTCACTATGTCTTCATATTAGTTGGTTGTTTTCCTTAGTTTTGGTATTTATGCCCCCAATTTTTAGACTTTTGGTGTATGCCAATTCTTTGATTTTAGTATATTTAATTGAAAATTCATGTGACAATTACAAGAAAATTTCCCAAATGGGCATTGGTAAATAATGAGGATACCGTGAGTTTTTGTGAAACTACACTTAGATAAATACATGCAATATTTTCCATGATCTATGGTTATTTTGGAAAGTATATGGGCAATGAGTTATGACTAAAATTTAAAGGTTTACAATCTTAAGATTAAAATAAAAATATATAAAGTTAAACCTCCATGTTAAGAAAGAGGAGTTTTTGTCCGAGGTGGATCCAGTACCAACACCTCAAAAATTGAAAAAAAAAAAAAATTGAAGGAAGAATTTTCTTTGGAGCCCCCAAAAATTTTCCTTGGATACCCTTTTTGTCAATAAAATTGATAAATCCATCATTTGTTTTAGATATATTATAAGTAGATACCTCCGAAAAAAAATCCTAAATCCGACACTGGTTGCTGTCCTGGGCACTGTGTCTATTTAAAATCAAGAACCTCATGGTGGTTTGTATAGACATACAAATTTAACTGCCTACCTTCAAAATTTGGTTTACCCTCTTCGGCGTTTGTCTTTTGCATAAATCTCTTCCCATGCGGGGTTTTTGGAATTTATACTCTTTCTATCCAAAAAGAGAGAAGTTTTGGATTTTTTGGTAACGAGCAATGTGATATCTTTCGATTGCTAGCTCTCTAAAATTCTGCTTGAGAAGTGAAGTCAGAGAATATTTTAGGTAGACTAGATTGTGAATTCAGTTTGTTGATCGATGCTGCCGGCACACAAAATTTGGGTGCTCTTTCTTGTTGTTTTGGTTTTAACCTCTCCCTGACTTCAACTTTTGCTACATTTGAGGGGCTAAGTTTGCTTTGCTTTTCACTAATGTTCTTTTTTCCTTCTTTACATGACCTTTGAGGATATAAATAAGTACCAAATGACGATTTGAAGCGTGTCAAGATCATGCAATTTCATTAGAATTTCTACCATTTACCAATAAGTAAATATTAACTTCTATGATATGATTTTATGGAAAATACCAACACATTTTGCCAAATTATGTGACCTTGTAACTATTTTTTGCTTTCCTTTTGGTTGGCTTTGCAGTGCTATGGAGAGTATGTAACTGGATCAATAAGTGATGAGCAGAGAAAGAATGTTGTTCGTAACGCATGCCCTGGAGCAGGGGCCTGTGGGGGAATGTATACTGCAAATACCATGGCTTCGGCAATTGAAGCTATGGGAATGTCTCTTCCTTACAGGTAGAGTTATGCTTTCCCAGGGTTATTTGGATTCAGAATTTGGCATTTCTGTCATTTGTCTTATCTTTTTTTCTTTTTCCTGACAAGCTCTTCAATACCTTCTGAAGATCCATTAAAGTTGGACGAATGCCGTTTGGCTGGAAAGTATTTGCTAGAATTGTTGAAAATGGATTTAAAACCACGAGATATTATCACCCACAAATCTTTACATAATGCAATGGTTATTGTCATGGCACTAGGTGGGTCAACCAATGCTGTATTACATTTAATTGCCATCGCAAGGTGAGAATTTGAGCCAAATATTCCTTGCATATCAAAATTATTGAAAATTTCTGCAGATGACTCAGAAAGATTCATGGCAGGTCTGTTGGTCTAGAGTTGACTCTTGATGATTTCCAGAAGGTTAGTGATGAGGTTCCATTTCTGGCTGATCTGAAGCCCAGTGGCAAATATGTCATGGAGGATGTGCATAAGGTAGAAATTAACTGAATTTATTGTACCATCATTCTTTTTCTTTCAAGTTATACTTTGCCTCTATGGCTTATGAAGGATGACATTACCAGCTTTCTCCATACATGAATAACTCGTAATTCTATTTTCAACTTATGGGAAAAAAACATGGTGTCTGGACAGATTGGTGGAACGCCTGCTGTTATTCGTTATCTTTTGGAGCTTGATTATCTAGATGGGGATTGCATGACTGGTATGTCAATTTTGATTTTATTAACATTTCTTTGTTTATTGCAATTTTGGATCTTAATTTTTCAATATTCTTAATATTCGATACAATGATATTTCCTTTCCAGTTACTGGGAAGACATTGGCAGAAAATGCACAAAGTTACCCTCATTTACCTGAGGGACAGGTTGGTTCTGGTGTTTTTCTCCCCCAAAGAAGACTTTGTTTCTTCTAAATATTAAAAATTTGAGTTGGCATGAATGTGAGATTCTAGTATGATCAATCTTATATTGCTTTTCTAGGATATTTTAAGACCAGTGTCAAATCCCATCAAGAAAACTGGGCATATCCAAATATTAAGAGGGAATCTTGCACCAGAGGGTTCTGTAGCAAAAATTACTGGGAAAGAAGGACTATATTTCTTTGGTGCCTTTTTTTACTCCTTTCTTTCTATTTTAAGTTTGTGCTGCTAGATTCTTTTAATAGTTAAAATCTAGTCTGCCTCCATTGATAATGATTGCTAGAATTGTTCTTTAGGCCCTGCACTTGTCTTTGAGGGAGAGGAAGCTATGCTAGCTGCTATCTCAGAAAATCCCATGAGTTTTAAGGTATGATTGTCAAGCAGCTGCATTTCACCTACAATTCTTTTTACTATAATCCTATAATTGTCCCATCACAATAATGAATTATGTAGGAGTCCACCACTTATAAGTGTGGGCTCCATACAACATTTTGATAAACCTCACAAATTCTAAATTGTGATTGGTTTATTGTAGTGCAATGATTGTAGGTGATATGATCCCAAAGCAACATTCTATGTTTTTATAATTAGCTAGTGATGTTGAGGCCTCATGTACTGAGTTTTGAATTAGCAACCGACTATGAGAAGTTGTTTTACCTGCGTTTTGTTTCAGATACATAAGCTGTTTCATTTTACTTGCTGAATGCTGCGAGTTTGTACTGTTAGTAGCAGGATTTTCCCTGCTTTTTGGAATAAAAGTTATTTAAAAAAACAATGAGCCCTGATTCCATTTTTTTTATTAATTTAATAGTCTTGAAGTGGCAAGGCCACGGGTTTTTTACTGCACATATCTCTACATATCTATTTGTGATCATTGATTTCCCATATATTTTTCAACTTTAACAGTACTATTACAGAGTCATCTTATGTTTTTTGAGTAAAATATGTTTTGATTGCCTTTTAAGAGATTGGGCCTTCCCTTTTCCTATTACATCCTTCAACTGCTATGTTCTTCATTGATGCTTACTCATTATCTGCATAATTTGATACATATAATATTTTACCAAATCGTTTCTTATGATGTTCTTTTGGATGAATATTGTTGAGTACATTTGAATCAAGAATTTGAGTTTGAATATGCATTCCTTACATATCCATTTGCGTTTGCTAAAATCTGAATGTTGCCTTTGCTCGTATATTTCCAGGGAAAAGTAGTAATTATTAGAGGTGAGGGACCCAAGGGTGGCCCAGGTATGCCTGAAATGTTGACACCAACAAGTGCAATAACGGGCGCAGGTCTTGGGAAGGTATTTGTGATATTAACTCCAAGTGTTTTCAATGGCGGATTTAAGATTTTTTTGGAGGATGTCCACTTATAATATATATGAAAAACAATTTACAAATTTACCAATTTTATCAACAGAAAGGGTGTCTAGGGGAAAATTTTGGTGGTGTCCAAGGAAAATTTTTTCTTAAAATTTTATTGTTTTTCAATCTTTGAGGGTGTCTACCTATACATGTGGATCTGCCTCTGAGTAGTTTGCCACCAGTGGCCCATCAATTTTGTTAATTTATCCATAAAGATTTTATTCTATACTTTTGCAAAAAAAAAAAAAAATGCAAGATCTCAATCTTGTTATTACTGGAAGCAGAATAAGTTGCTTGCCTTGGTGTTTGAAGAGTCCTAAAACTTTCCTATACCTTTTGGTGCTTTCATTTTATCATCTCTGCAGTTTCTTTTCAACTTGAATTACATCTTTCTAACTGCTGATGTAAATATTGTTCCCTTCAAAGTGTATTTGATTTGATTGTTGTGAGTGAATAGTGCAGGATGTTGCGTTGCTCACTGACGGTAGATTTTCTGGAGCTTCACATGGATTCGTTGTAGGCCACATATGCCCAGAAGCACAGGTGCATTGTTTTCTAATTTCACAGGTTGCAAGATAATTTGCCTTCAATGAAAGACTAAAACTTTGCATTTTAGTCCTTATGATCTTTTTAATGTTTTTTTCTTTCTTAGATATAAAGATATGCTTTATCCTGCATCTTGGACAAAATTGAAGTTCTGAAAATTTTAGAATAAATGACAGATGAACAAATTTCCATTCACATAAGAGATAAAGTATGTTCAAATTAGATACCGATATAGTAATTATTAATCGGACTCCTATGCCTCTGATTATATTATTCATCTTTATTTACAGTTTAGGGTTGATGTCACGAATAATCTCTGAATTATAATGAAATGTTCAATATGGTACTTGAATTTTAAAAGTCTTTAATGTGATACCTGAACAATGAATATGTTAATTAATGTGGTACTCATCCTTAACATCGTTAGTTTCAAATAATGACATATGGTTGACAAATAGCTCTCTAAGTACCACATTAATTAACAGATTTATAGTTTAAATATCATATTAGAGATATTTATAGTTTAAGTATCACATTGATTTTGAATATTTTCATTATAATTCAAAGCTCATCCATGACATCAACCCATATGCTTATAATAATATTTTAACCTCCAAAAAAGTTTATATCATATAAAATTGCTCCCTTCCCTTGACACAAATAGATGGTCAATGTTGGGTTCGTTTTTATAGGAGGGTGGCCCCATCGGTCTTATTCAAAACGGGGACCTCATCAGCGTTGATATTCAAAAGAGGGCCATAAATGTTGAGTTAACAGATGATGAACTAAATGATCGGAGAAAGAAGTGGACTCCACCTCCTTATAAGGCTAACAAAGGAGTTTTGCTTAAGGTGGGGATGATAATCTGCATTGGAACTATGTTTTGCCATATTAATGATAGATCTCTAAATGAACATCTCTTTTTCATTTTCAGTACATCAAGAACGTGCAACCAGCTTCGAAGGGGTGTGTAACCGATGAATAGGCAATCGCCGAAAGGACAAGCCCAGATTGTGATGCATGAGGTGTTTTGCAGCTCAATCCCCGTATCCATCCTGCTCTTCAACTACGATTAGCTCATATCAGGCATCGGTTTTCATTTTCTTTCCACCAGGTGCTTTTGATTTGTTGTTTGTTTTGCTAAGTCTTAAAAGAAATGTTTAAGTGATCTGCAATGATAAATTTTTGTATCATTAAGCAATTGGTATGAAAACCACCTCAATTGACAATGATGATCCTTTCAATGTTAGTTGGAGAACCTGTTTACTGTCTCTATTTTCTTTTCCTCAATCTGAATCTCCATTTTCCCTTCCTTAAGAGGTTTCCATGGGGATAGGTGGCCTGCTTGATGTATTGAATTTGATGCAACCGAGCAATTGGTTGGTTAAAAGATGATAGGGGTGGGTACTTAACTATGTATCTTTTGTTAAAACCATTAATTTTCCATTAAAATTTCTTTAGTATTTCTATGTATTTATTATATTCAATTTATTGTCCGACGATCATGTGTAAAGTTTATTATGAATTCAGGTAATACATATTGTAACTATTTTTGCTTTTACTTAATACTTATTGTCACTTGCAATGTAGGTAAATATTTTTATTTTATTTTATTTTAAATAATTATGTTATATATTGATCATAGTATTTCGTGTTATACAAATAACTGAAATTAATAAATATATTATATTCCAAAAAATTAATATAATACATATTAATCAAAGTTTATATTAATATGTAAAATTTCTCTCATGCGTAAAGATATAATGGCATCCAGTCAGTGAGATTTTAGTACCTATAATTCTTATTTTTATCATTAAGCTGTGATTTTTTATGCAATGGAATTTAATGTTAATGTAAAATTAGAATTCTAAGGTTAAAAAAATTTCGTATAAACTTTAACTCTTTTTTTTTTTTTATTTATCAAATAAAATTATTTAATGAAACTTTTTCAATGGAATTAGAATTTTTATTTATAAATCAAATAAATCTCATTAATATTTATAATAAAATAATATTTTTGAAACGATAAATAAAATGAGCAAAGATTTAATTTTCTTCAATAAATTTTTTTTCAATATACGTATTTATATATATATTATACTTTTATATATTAAAACTTTTTGCTCTATTTAAAAATGCTTAGATAATATATATATATATATATATATGTTAAAATTTAAAAGAGTAACTCTTCAAAACACAATCGATTCATGCTACTTTGTTGGAATAAATATAAAAAGTAAACAACAATTCAAGAAATGTATAAAATAAATAAATAAAAATTATACAGAAGGAAAAAGTTAGGAAAGAATAATATCTATTGTAGCATCACCATAAAATTTACAAAAAAAAAAAAAAGAAAAAGAAAAAGAAAAAATAGTGGAGTAAAATCCTCACGATCTACCATTGCAACAAATCTATACATAGGTTTATTTAAAAAATTCTATGCATGAATTAAATAAGAGAGTTCAAAAATCACAAATAAAAAGTAAATAATTATAAAATGAGTACATCAATTACAAAAATCATAAATAATTATTAGTACAAAGAATACAAAATCAAACACATTTTATTATTTTCAACTAAATTTGAATTATATTCTTTTTTTTTCCTTCCAAACTTTATTTTAAAATAATTAATTAATACAATATAAAAATATTAAAATTAATATACTAACATTTTTTAATTTTTCATGTCCTCAACCATTTTAGTTAGGTTCAATAGTTAGTAAAATATGAAAAAATTTCAAATGGAATTGTTTATATATATATATATATTTTTTTTTTCAATAGTTAGTAAAATAACATTTTTATTATAATGTTTTGTTTCTTTTTATCTCCTAACTATAAAAAAATTCGTCTCCTATTATTCCACTTAAATTTAATGATTAGTAGAATATGAACAATATTTTAATTTAAATTGAATATGAAAAGATTTAAATTAATAACATAATATCTTTTGGTTTTTTTTTTACTATTTTAATTAAATTCAATGATTAGGATAATATGAAAAGTTTATATATATATATTAGATTTCAAATCTTTTATTTTTAGATGATTAATTAATATATAACTTTTCATATTCTATAATTTAAATACTAATTTATTAAAAATTTATTTAATACTAGTAAATATCAAAATTAATAGGGCTAAATAATCATTTGATCTACTTTTGTAGCTTTTGGCTTTTGGACCAATTTAGAATAACAAATTTTTTAAATAAAAAAAGATAAAAATAAAAATAACAACGGAAGAACAATGGAGAGCAAGGGAAAAAGTGACAGGAAAGAAAGAGAGAAAGGTGTGGGAGGGGTGAGGTGGAAGGTCGATGCCTACGACAATCGGTTGAACGGATCAGATTAATATCGATCTATCTTGATCAATTAGATCGATATTGTTTTTGCTGAGATAAGCCGAATCGTCATTAATTTAATTGATTGGAGACATGTCACCGTCGATCCAGTAACGGATATAAATGATATAATGGACACCTACAAAATTAAAAAAAAAAAAGAAATTTAAAGAAAAAATTTCTCTTCAATGTTCTTAAATTTTTGTTTTGGCCACTTCTATAATTTCAAAAATTAAAAATATTTAAAAACTTTCTTAATATCTGAAATATTATTTTAAATAATTTTTAATCTATAAAATTAATAAATTTATGGATGTTATTTTATATGTTTTATAAATAAATATTTAAAAAAATTTTTTTGAACCCCACCATTATAAATTATTTTTTTATTTTTTTCAAGTTAAAAAAAAAAAAGTGACTTGACACTTTTGTTACAAATCAACGTGATAAAAGTAGTATAATTTATGGGCAAATATATGTTTAACCATTTTTTGATATATACTAATATTTGTTGTCTCATGTGTAATGTGTGAATTTTTTTATTTATTTTAAATAATAATTTATATAAATATATAATTATATAAAAATAAATGAAATTTGTATATTAATATGTAAAGTTTGTCCTATTTGAAAAATATATCATATTAACATAAAATTTATTGGTTTTAACATTAATATAAAATTAAATTATGAAAATAAAGAAATTGAAATTTAATACAACTTTAACTCTTTTTATTAATCAAATAAATTTATTTAATAAAATATATTTATTTTGATTAATTATAAGTAAAATTTAAAATTGGCTTCCATTTTTATACTTATGGTATTTCAATAAGTTATATATTTTATTAAAAATATTTTATTTCATTTTATTTTATAATTTCCAAAAAATTAATGAAAGAAAATATATAATTAATTAAATTAAACTAAATTAAAAATAATTAATAATATATTTAAAATAGTTATTTATTTTTATAAAAAATGATATAATGCATGAGAATTATATTCATCCTTGACTTTATTTTTATTAGGTATAATTTTTGACAAACTAAATTTCGAGAGCTTGAATTTTTTACTGTCTCGGCATTACTTTTCTAGCGGAGAATCAAATAAAGCTTTTAAATTAAAAAAAAAAAAAAAAAAGAAATTGGAGCAGTTAGCCAAGCTGCAACCAACTTAAGCCAATGCTCGGCCTGATAACTAAACCAGGGCTATTAGTTTCTAACTAGTCCAGCAACGGGTGGAGCCCAAATTATACAAAACCTAGATCGGACCCCAACCGGGTTATCCAAATTGCCGACCCTGGAAAATTGAAGAGAAACAGAAACAAATTGTTAAGAGAAGAGACAGAGATGGCATTGCCTTCTTAGGGATTTGAATGAGTCAACTTCTTCTGGAATTTACGTCGCTTTCGATCCCAATCATCATCAAAAGTGGAAAAATCAAAATCTGGTAGCGACTTTTTTAATATATATTTTTATTTTTATTTTTAATTGTCAAAATTCTTGATTTTTTCTTTTTTTTTTTCCCTTTTCTGATCGTCTATTAATTTATTTTATTTCTTGACTATGTAACTTTTTTTAAAAAATTCACTCTAATACTGTCAAATAATTTGCTTTTGGGTTTTAATTTTGGTATGATTATTTTATCTGTATCTATGTAAATTCCTTTTTGTTTTATTAATATCTGGTGCTTCAAAGGAATTAAATTTAATAATATTAGAATTAGTATTTGGTGGAAATTAAACTAATATGTTCAATTTTAGGGGTTTATTTTACTTTTATTTATAATCATGCCAGTATTTGAATAGTTATTGCCTGGATATAATGAATGAGAAATTTTTATTTGCCAGGGTTTTATACATAGTGATAATAATTTTGCTACATACACATAAAAATTGTCTATTTTCAATGTTAAATTATTCATTGTGATATTTTTCTAGCAAGTTTGATTTCTTATAATTTTTTTTTCATTTTTGTATTCATTGTATAACGGCATCGCAATTTGGTTCCATCTTTGCTTGGTATGTGGATGTTTAGTGTGCTCAAAGTTATATTGAATATGACCCAGTTTTTGTAACTTGAAGTTATAAAAAAGGGTGAGTTTTGCTTCTATAAGTAAAAATCGTTGGTCAGCAGTTACTTTTGATTGTTTATTGTTGTTGCATTAATTGTCAACAGGAGCAATTTTGATGTAATACTTTCTCTATCCACTTTTGTTTTGCTTGTGGACTAAATAACATTTTTAAAAAGTCTAAAGAGTAATGTCGGAAAGTGTGGTGTTGATTTTTTTTATTTGGCGGGTTACATTGCTCTTGAATGATCTTCATGTAAAGGTGACTTTTCCAGTGGTAACATTTAAATTTGGACTATAATGTTGTTAAACTGCCTTTGGAAAGGAATTTTTGTATGCAATTTCATAGTTGTGTACTTGAAGCTGCACGTGAAGGCAAGGCTTGACTTGTATGTTTTATTTGATACAGAAAATGGACGACTTGGACATTGATTCAGTAGTGGACATACCTGACACTCCTGATAGGTTATCTTCACGGCGAATGAATGGAGGAGATTATGTTGAAAAGGAAAGTAATATATCTGTAGCTGGTCATTTAGGAGGTTCTACTACTGCAGGTGAAGGATCTTTTGATAGTCTACGGGACAGAGGTAGGCTGCTAGCTGAGAATGGGTGCAACAGAAAATATTATATACACCCTCGAAAACTTTCAGACTGTGTTGATGGAAATGAGCGTTGGAAAAACACCATAGTCTTATCCCCGCTAGAGAAAGCTCATGAAAATGCTCCTGTATTTATGAAAACAGCAATGGAGAGAATCAGGAATTCCATTAGAGAGCAATACATGGATAAAGGAAAAGCTTGTTGCTCTAAGTTCCCTCCTAAATCATCTGGATTCCAAGAAGGCCATGAGATTCTAGATTTAACTGGACAGAATATGTACAACCAAATTCCTGAAATGGCATTTCCACATGGTGGATCAAAAAATTGCTTAGCTGAAGGAAGAAAAGAAGGTGAGGTACCAAGAAATGTTGGTTCTTATCTATGTAACTCTTCAAACAATTCTACAACGTCCAGAAATAACTGCAAGGGAAAGGAAAAAATAGAGGACATTGGATTTAAAAATGTAGGTTCAGTTATGAATCATGGAAAAGGGG